GGAGGGGGTGTTAGAGGTCCCCTGGAACCGCAGGGGAAAGGATTTCTACTCCTGCTAGTTCCTGGTTCCAAAAGCCAAGGGCTGCTTCCGCCCTATTCTGGACCTGAGGGATCTAAATACCTTCATAGTAAAATCCAAGTTCAAGATGGTTACCCTGGCATCCATCATTCCTTCCCTAGGCATGGGAGACTAGTATGCTGCCCTCAATCTCAAAGACATCTACTTTCACATTTCTATTGTGCCTGCGCACAGCATTTCCTCTGCTTTGTGGTGGGTCAAGACGATTATCAGTTTACGGCCCTCCCCTTTGGCTTTTCCACAGCTCCAGGGTTTTTACAAAGTGCATGCAAGTGGTGGCCACTTTCCTCAGGGAAGCGGTGGGTCCAGGTTTATCCGTACCTGGAAGATTGGCTCTTAAGAGGCTCCTCCCCATCCCAAGTGATCAGCCATATATCCCTTGTAAGGGAGGCATTTCTCAGGCTGGGCCTTATACTGAACGAGACCAAGTCTACCCTGGTTCCATTTCAAATGATAGTTTGTGGGAGCTCTTTTGGACATCACAGGGCAGGGCCTCCCTCCTCCTGGGATGCTTCATGACACTAAGGGAGGCCATCATGCGGTTCCAAAATCTGGTTCTCATGAAACTTATGGGTCCCCCTTTTGAGCCATTGACCATGTGCTCCCTCCTGCACCTTTCCTGGAAAGTATCCTTCCTGGTGATCATTACTTTGGCCAACCGTGTGTTGGAACTGAGGGCCCTATCGGTGGACTTTCCCCCCTGCCCCACGTACACTGTCTTGTTCAAGGATAACGTCAGACTGTGCCCCCACCCTGCCTTTTTGCCCAAGATAGATCTTACTTCCATGTCTCCCCGGGACATTTTTCTTTGTTTTTTACCTGAAGCCCCATAGCGCTGGGACACAGCAGGCCTTACACTCACTTGAGATGAGACGTCCTTTAGCTTTTTATTTAGAGAGGACCAGGCCCTTCCGTAAGTCCCCTGAATTGTTTGTGTCTATAGCAGACAGGATGAAGGGCCACCCTGTGTCATCCCAGCATATCTCATCCTGGATCATAGCTTGTATTAGAGTTATAACTTGGCACAGGTTCCAGCGCCGCCCCTTACAGTTCATTCCACAAGAGCCCAAGCATCTTCCACGGCTTTTGTAGCCCAGGTGCCCATCGTGGAGATTTGCAGGGCGGCTGCCTAGTCATCGGTGCACACCTTTGCAAATCATTATGCCATTACGCAGTATGCAAGGGAAGATGCTGCAGTAGGTAGGGCTGTGTTGCAGTCCATCTGTAGGTTCCAGCGCCGCCCCTTACAGTTCATTCCACAAGAGCCCAAGCATCTTCCACGGCTTTTGTAGCCCAGGTGCCCATCGTGGAGATTTGCAGGGCGGCTGCCTAGTCATCGGTGCACACCTTTGCAAATCATTATGCCATTACGCAGTATGCAAGGGAAGATGCTGCAGTAGGTAGGGCTGTGTTGCAGTCCATCTGTAGGTAGGCTCTGACCCTAACCCCCCCCCCCCCCCCCCCCCCCAACCCC